TCTCTGTGAGCGCACTCCAACCCCATCTTCAAAAAAAAAATAAAAAAAATTCCTGGGATGTTTTTTGGCTCGTCTGGTTTTGCCGGACGGACCCCCCCCCGTTCATCTGGCCCGGTCCGTCTGGCCCAGTCCGTCTGGGCCGGACATCGGCTTAACCCAGATGAAAATTAGAAAAAATGAAACGAGAATGAAATTATTGAGTGGGCGAGCTCGTTTTGAACACCGCCATCTTTGGTGATTTTTCTTTTTTTTTTTGGCTGTGAAAAATGCCATGAAAATGTATATATGTGTATCTTACATAATAGAGAATATACAAATAAAGTTTGAAAAAATAATAATTTTTTTCATGCCCTGAAATAAAGTTTTGACAAGCAAGTTTTTACACCACCATCTTTGCCGATTTTTCGTTTTTTTTCTGGCTGAACAGAATGGCTTCAAAATTAAGAGGAAGATACCGGACCTCACAAAGAACTCACAGAAAACTTTTCAGAAAACAATAATAATATTTAGGTGCCAAAATATTTTTTGGCGGGGTGCGAACCCCTTCAGGTTCGGGCCCCGTACGGGGACCCGAACGCCCAAACTTTTGGGGGTCAGCTTAGGGGCCTCCGTATGTTCGGCCTGGCAACCCTGTATATATATATATCCTGATGAGTCGGTGAAACTCCGACGAAACATTTTGTCACAGCCCCTCGTTTGTTGTCCTCTTCTCTCTGTCTGGCTACGGTTTTACCGGGCAGTTCTGTTTGTGACGATATATATACAAGGTAACCGGTGTTCGGAACGTATGGGACCCCTTGGGGATGCGTTTGGCCGTTTGGGCCGAACGTGGACCTTTGAAAAAAAAAAAAAATCTGAGAGAAAGATATGTTATGAAGAAAAATAAATTCAACAAGATTTGCCCAAGCATTACATCCAAATTCCTTGCCAAATTTGAAATAAAAATAAAATACGGAGAACAAATACGAATAATAAAAAATAATAAAAATAAAAAGAGAATTAAGTTTAGTGAGTGCGCGAGCACGTTTTCGACTCCGCCATCTTTGGCGATTTTTCATTTTTTTTTTGCATAGCTAAATGCACTGAAAATTTACAGATGTGTACTTACATAATAAAAAACCCACTAAAAAAAATTCAAAAAATAATAAAATTGTTAAGTGAAAACAAAATGTAAAAAGTGAAAAAAGCGTGGGCGAGCACGTTTTGACACCGCCATCTTTGGCGATTTGTAATTCTTATTTGGCTGAGCCAAATATGTCAAAATTTATAGGCATGTACCTCACGTCATAGAGAACTCACGAAAAAAAATTCAGAAAAGAAATATATATTTTTAGGCCCCGAAACAATTTTTGGCAGGGGTCGAACGCCGACGGGACCCCAAAAGCCTGGTCCTCGTACTGTCGGGCCGCCCCGGAAAACAAGGTGACCTGGGCTGCCAGGCTGGTAGCCTAGTTTTTTTCTTGCTTTAAACTGGTGAAAATGTTGTTGTTCGGGACCCCCCTGACTGTCTGTCAGGATGTCCTGCCATCGGACAACTGGCAGCGTAGCTTTTTTCTTTTTTTTCTTTTTCTTCTTTTTTAAAAACTGAACAATTGTTCCATTATTCCATTTATGCCTGTCATCCCTAATTGCACAGGGGTCATGCTAATCTTCTCTGTTCCATTCCGATTGTAACGGATGTCATGAAGACGAAGCAATACATGATTCACAATCATCACGCAGTGCATGACAGTTTGAATATCAGCGTAGGACACACATTTATACGACATGTTTTCAGTGAACTCTTATGTTCGGCATTGCATGTATGCCCCCAAGAAGCAATAGATCATTCACCATCATCCTGGAGAGCCCGGTAGTTCAAATATCAGTGTAGGTGACACATGCAAATGACACGACGCCTAGATCGGACACCCATGCAAACGAGGCAAGTCTATCACACAATGCCAAAGATGGATGTCCCGAAGAACACTCATGGCTACTTTCTCTCTTTTTTTCGCTTGTTTTTCCTTCTTTTTTTTTTTTTTTTTTTTGAGTGGGTTATTCGCTAACATAGTTGCATTCCTCTGTATTCGTTTGATTGAGGACTTGTTGAACTCATTATCGGTTAACAAATAGTTCCTTTCATGTGCACCATTCAGCCACATGGGCTGGGTGGATCTGTTTTGTTGTCATCTATGTCCCTTCTAACTCCATGACATGTAGATTGGAAACGACATTTTTTATTGTTGTTGATCTGCTTTGGCTTGCAACTTCATGCTGGGCCGGTTGGTGCGCATTGCAGCCGATCTTGTTGAAGGCAACAAAATACCTCGTCAGAGGACAGCTAATGGTGAGCTCCCTGAAAAATGCGGATGTGAACGCAATTGGCCACGAGTTTTCTGTTGATGTTTGCAAACCAAACGGCGAGAGAACGGAAACGCTGCAGGTCACCAGGGTTGCTGTGTTCAATGAAAGCTCGCAGAGGGCAGTGTATGGGTTCTCAAAATGGGCTGAGATGGGGGAGTCGTTCGTGTTCATGCCAGAGCATGCCTCGCTGCTATTTTACCCTCGTCATCGACAGGTATGTACTTTTTTAAAGTTTTTTTGGCGTAGGTGCCACCCACTAGTCTTTGCACTTCTGATTTCCTTCCATCATCAGCATGTCTCTTGGGGAAAGAGAAGGAACAGAGAGAAGGGAGGAGATAAGGGGAGAGGGTGAAAGGGGCAGGGTGGGGGGGGTACTGGGCAGGGGAGTAAAGGGATGCATCACAGGAGAGAATCAGCTT